AATGTCAAAATCTCATCCATTTTTAACTCATTTGTTATCGTCTGTCCACCACAACGTCACCTGACCACTCTTCATACATCACATTTCATATATAAAATTTAAATATTATTTGATAAAATTTAATATTAATTGAATAAATTTGGTTTTAATTTGATAAATTTAAATATTAATTTGGTGTTAATTTGATAAAATTAAATATTAATTCAGTGTTGATTTGACAAAACTTAATGTTAATTGAATAAATTTAAATGTTACTTTAATAAAATTGAATGTTCATTTGGTGTTAAATCAAATAACTGATATTAATTTGATAAGGTTAAATATTAAATTAATGAAATTTAATATTCTATTTAATATATTAAATTTTAATTTAATAAAATTGAATATCAATTTGGTGTTGATTTAATGAACCCAAAGGTTAATATAATAGAACTAAAAAGGAATGTATTGACATTTTAGAATTGAGAGGGAGTATTATTAAAGATAGGTCAATTTATAGGGGGTGTCGTTGAAATTATGTCTTTTTACAAAGGGTGTAGACAAAATTTACCCTATAAAATATTCATGAGTATTTTTTTAAATTAACGTTTGTCGTTAACGTCGTAACCCTAACAAACACTGACAAGGGGTGACAATAAAGTTTCAAAATAGGGAGGGGATGTCATTAAATTTAGACCTAATTACAAGGAATGTAGATGAATTTTTCCAAAAATTTATGGGTGTTCATTTGGCGATATGACATTGATTCAAATTTAAGATTCAGATAATTTTTTTGGCTCCATCATGTTATTTTACATGATTTCTAACATTGCTCGAATAAAGAATAACACATTGGGTAGGTGAAATAATAAAAGTATATCATTTGCTTCCACTTTGTCGGTCAGAATTGTTATTTGATTGGTTAAGGGCTAGTGATCATCATAAAAATTTTATAATTTCCTACAAGGTGACATGGTATTTTTGTGTGTGTAGAGATCAGAAATGGCATGCCTATTCATGTAAGGTTCACTCTTTTTTTAATAACTTGTTTTGCAAGCTTCCTTTGTTGAATATATTTTTCTTACACATGCAATGAAATTCTATTGTTTGTTCATATGTTGTGAGGTGGATTGTGATTATTTATACATTGGTGAAAAATTGGGGTTAATTTGGGTTAGATTGACTCTAATGCTCTGTTTGGTAGGAATGATGGAAAGTATGAGGGATACCATTTCTATCATTTAAGGATGAAAAGTAAGAATAATACACTTTCTTTCCTTTGTATTTAGTTGAATGGATGGATAGACAATAAAAATGACTAATTTTTTTTTTTTGTCAAATATTAGGGGTAACGATCGAGTCGTGTCATGTCAGATTCGTATTGTGTCATAAAATTATGAGTATTTTATATTTCTTGTTCGCGTGTTAGGTTATTTTCAAGTTCGTGTCGAGTTATAATCAAGTTCGTGTTATAAATTCGTATCGAGTTCTAGTCGTGTCATCGTGTTGAGTCGAAAATTTTCACCTCTAGTTAAGATGAATTTTTTTTTTTAATTTAAATTTTATTTTATTTTATATATATTTTTTAGCATTGGATTTTTATATGAAATTAATGTATACATAATATTTAGACAAATAAAATACATTTCAACACAAATAATTAACTTTCCATCCACTTTCTTTCCGATTTTGAAGGGATTAGTTTTAGTGAGTTAGAAGGAAAGTTAATTCATCCACTTTTTTATCCTTCCTATTTTGCTTCCTTACCAAACATAATGTTTTATTTATCTCTCCAACTTTTTATCTTTCTAGCTTTTCATCATTCTATTTTTCCATCATACCAACAGAGCATAAGATTATGTTGATGTTAGATTATTACTAGATTGTTTTGCAGGTTGATTTTTGAGGTGATTGAACCACTAATACAATGGCCTGCAAAGATAAGTTGCTTCCTTTAGCTACAGTGCTCTTTGTTTCCTCATTGTTTGCCTGTTCCAAAATTTATATTTCTCTAGAAAATACAACAAAATGGTAGAATTAACTTAGTTATAGAAACGTGTAGATATTAATTAACATTCAACCTATGCTACAATCTGAAAATCAATGAAACTTTATATTCATATATTTGATTCAATTCTAGAAAAGATTAATAGTGATATCTAATTATTTTAATGTTGGGTTAACACAAACATGGCTAAAAACTACATAAACCCAACTAACCACTACTAAGAAAGACAAAATGACACAACCACTGTGCATCCATTTTTTTTCCTCCTCATTAGTACGTGCATTCTAGGGAAATAATAAGATCTCCTCTCTGGCAGCTGTTTAAAGTGTACAAAGGAACATGTGCAGGTAAGAATCAGAAGAAGCAGCAAAACAACTTACAATCATACTATGCTTAAAATTCACTCTGATTTAGTTAATCGTCACTGATACCTTCTTTATTTTGTGGCCTTCATTTTATTTTTTTGGGAGACTGATATTAGGTCATGGAACAAACCATAGATTTCGAGAAGCATTGATTACTTTTGAGTTTCTTGATTTCAAATGCAAAAATAAGGTGTGTAGTGCATTTGCACAAAATGTAGCATTAGAGGTGTTTTTTAATGCTCAGTATTTCTTTCGATTCCGATTGATCGAGATTCTCTAGCTATGTGTGTGTGTGCGCGCCTTTATCCTCTCTTTTGTGTGTCATTTCACTTGTTTGACTAATTAGGACTTGATTATCGATTTTATTTTTCTTTGTTTTTAATTGTATCATATGCACAAATTCAAGCCTCCAGTGGACAAGTTGATTGAGAGGATATGGCAGTGAAGCCAGATGTGAGTCTTGATGGTCCGGTTGGGAAATTATAAATTATGGCACCCTTCTATGGAAGACTTAGAAGTCGATTCATGTTTGTTACTTCTTGAGTTTTTATTTTCATTGGTGATGTGTAACTCCCGAGGGTAACTTCATATAAATTCTACAAATATGTTATTGGTGACTTAGAGAGTGCAGTGAAAAAAAGGAGGCAACTCGTGTATATTTTTACCAATCCAATCTTGATTGGTGCGCCCCGTTAACAAATTTCTCTCAATATGGATTCATGCAATTTCAATGGGAATTTCTCCAGGAGTATGACAATAAAGTACCATTTTCAAGGTGGCAAAGGCCTCCTACATTTGGTGCGTTGCCAATGCCAAAACAAACGATAATGTCCACTTTATCAGTTATTTATGAGTAATACACTTTGTGTATGTATTCTAGTGATCTTTCTAATCTTTCATGTTCTTAGTTCTAGCATTTATTAATCTTTGGTGATTAGTAGAAATCAATTTTCTTTGCTTATTAAAATAGGCCAACTGTTTTTGCTTAGAGGGTTTGAAGCTTGTCCGATTGTCGCCTCTGGAGAGCATGCTAGAAGTGTTGTAAATAGGTATTTTTTTTAATTTATCATGTACCAAATTGGGTTCATCCCTGTCAATAATTGGATGTATTAAGTTATAGGTAGGAATTAATTTCTACTTTATAATAGTATGCACTTTTCTCCCCCTCCCCCCTTTTGGTTATTGGTTGCGAGAGTTTCAGCTTTATGTGCTTATACTATGTTTATGAATTTATAATTCCTCGAAGAGTGTTGTTTGATTATTGTACAAAATGGTTCACGAGCAATGCACCAACTAGTATGATATAGAGAGAAAAAAGAAAAACTTTTCTTATTTATTATTGGAATTGTAATAAATAGTTCAATGGGGAAAATAAAACTCCTCACCTTTGAAATAGAAAATTTGTTGTAAAAAAAATAGTTTTAAACAAGTTTATTTGAGTAATTTGAGACTTAATAAAAGTGGGATCCCCACAGCTCGTAATTAGTGGGACCAAGTTTAAACGTGTTCTCCTCCGTAAGGAGATTAACGTGATATATTTATTTGTTCAAAACTATTAAGATTTGAATAAGAAATTATATCTCAAAGTGACTTATTTGAAGTGATAAAATAAACTAAGATTGGTGTAGTAAAATAAGATTTGTTTCACATTGGAAGAAGACCAACACTTTGGTGAGTTAGTAGTAAAATACGAGTTGTTTCACATTGGAAGAAGACCAACACTTTGGTGAGTTAATATACTCCTAATTGACTTCATGGGTATGGGTCCCAAGGGGTACCACACTTTTGTGAGCGGGACAAGCGCTTACACTACCTTGATTATCACACACGCACACGCCGGCCACCTTGCCGCGACCCGACTGGGCTAGGGCCAAAAAGATATAATCATTTTAGACAAAATTTATTTAGAGTGAAGGCGGATCAAAATTAAAATTCCAACCGATATTTAAATCAAAACCAAATTTTAAAATTTCTTCCCCTTTTTTTTGAACTTGGCGCCAAAAGAGATCTCGATTCATTCCATGAGTCTGTGTCTAGAGAGTATCTCTTCAATTTGAACAATGGCAACTCAGGCCTTTTCAGACAATTTGAACAACCACCAAGAGTCTATAAATAGATTGTCCCTTTGTCATTTCATTTCATCTCATTCTAGATTCCAATTTCAGAATTCTTCTCTCTCTCTCTGCTTGCATATTGTTGCATTCCATCTTTTGGTTCAGTTCAAATATAAACACAAGTTATATTCGTTGAAATTTTGAAGATTGAAGTGATGTTTCTTTAAGAAGAAAAAATCCATTCTATCTTAAAAGATAGTTGCTCATCCACCATGAACACCAAAAACAAGTAAATGTCTTAAGAAAATTGTGTTTCACAAAGCTCAGATTAAAATTCTAATTTTTCTTATTTATTATTTTTGTTGATTTGCATCCATGTAAATGCAGTGCTTTTGATTTTTACACATTCTGTTTAGTTTAGTGCATAATTTAGGCTTTATTCTAGATTCTGTGAAATTGCAACTGTTTCTGGAATGAAGGGGAGGAAGATCAAGAGTAAAATCTCTAATCTGAACATGACCAAGTGCCTCACCTTGAGAGAGAGAGAGAGAGAGAGAGAGAGAGGGATGAATATGACAGGTAAAAAAAAGGTTCCTTTCTTTACCACTATATCCAAAAACGAACATGTGGGGGATGGATCCAATGCTTGATAAAATACAATTTCACATTAGTGTGGTCCCTATGACAAAAAAGCATATGGGAATGAGGATGAACAAAATCTCACACTATGGTTATCTCAAAGAATCCTGCCGCCTAAGAGGGATGCCTTCTTGACCAAAACCATTTTCCTCGTCTGTGTGCTTGGCAAGTCGCATGGATGGAGACATAGAACCTGTATGCATTGACGGCATTGTTCACATGTAAGGCCAGGAATGAGGGTAACTCATCTACAAACTTTTTTATCTTTGCACAATCGTCTTTTTATATCAATGGGTGCAGTTTAAAAACTGCCCATGAGTGACATAAGATCCTTACTTTTGTTGTCACTAACCTAATCTCATATTAACATCACAAGAGCCAAAACAAAAGGTATAGAAGCGTACCATCGGCCATGTCTTTTGTTTTGTGAAGAAGGAAGGTTCCAGACAGGATTGTCACAAACCCACATATTTCCGTGACAATCTGGGTTGAATTCTGCCTATCCCAGTCCTGTGATCACAATTATCAAGCTTCAACAACATTGTCCAAGGTAACCCATAGAAATTTCACACAAGTAGATTGATGTAACATTTCCCCATCCCAGAGGCATAAGGAAGACAATGTTGGAATTTGATTTAGAGGAAGAAGAAACTACTTTAAGACTAAAAGCTAAAACAGGTCATCATGAATATTTGACAATCTGAAATTACAAAAAATCAAAACAACAATTGAACAGCAGTAATGGTATGTGTGTACAAGAAGGTGCAAGTGCTAGCCATTCACAAAACAGTTCTCACTCCTCTAGCTACTAACCCAACAAAAGGCACACACTCCATGCATCAGAGACAAATGGAATGCTTAGTCCATTTTCTTACAAGATTCATAGAAATGGCCATGTTATAAATCACCATTAACCTCCATTACTTTTATAGATAAATCAGGAAAAAAAAAAGAACAGATATTGCATGCCAGTGCATGATCTCTTATTACCACCAAGTGACTAATGGTCCTTTTTATTCTTCTTAATTCTTACCAATAGAATTGAACCACTTACCCCCTCCCACTCATAATGGAAGTCAAAACTGGTGGCTGCTTCCTTAGTACTGTAGCCCCACCATTATTAGAAAGCCAAGGCATGGAAGCCATTCGCGAAGTCTAGTCCTTTTTCTTTTTCTTTTTCTTTTTCTTTTTTACCTTTATTTGCATTTATATTTTTTAAAATTTCTTTGGATTTTCTGGTGGCCGTAGTTGAGGGGTAGGGATGACAATGGGGCTTTCCAGTTTCCAGTGTTGCTATCCTAAAAGTTCTCAGGTTTTCACAGCCTAAATTTAAGCATTTGTTTTAACTACCTCAGTCTTGGGCTTCAGGCTGCTAATTCAGGCATGTCCAACAGCCAAAATCATTGTTACAAGAAACAAATTCAATACACTATTAGAGCTTTCATGACTAGATTATACACTACAGAACCTCCTGCAAGAAAGAATATTTCCCCATCTAGTAAGGAAATATTACACTGCAAAAACTATTACACTGCCCGACCGATATCTTTACACTTTCCAAGAACCATCAAAAAAGCATCTGTCATGCAAGCTGGTCAGCAAAAGCATACCAATTTTACTGCTCCGGCTGCATGTTGAATCTCTACATTTTTCAATAAAATACTGCAAGCATATAAGGGATATTATCCCCTTCGCTGAATGGACCCAATCAGGGGCAGAGCTACTCAAAAAGTGAGGGGGGCACTTGCCCCCACTGACTTTGCACAATATATGGACAATCCTTGTAACATATATAGCATTAATGGTCATTCTACTCTTTAATTCAACACCCCCCCCCCCCCCAGGGGGGCAGTTGGCCCCACTGCAAAATCCTTGTACATATATTGCATTAATGGTCATTCTACCCCCCCCCCCTTTTTCTTTCTCTCTCTTTATTTCTTAAAAATTTATATGGTTGTCCTAGTTTATTCTTTTTTAGTAAATCGGTTGCCCACTTACCTTTCTAATCCAGTAAGACAAATGTTCTATTTTAGGGCTGCATGAGATAATGCATACAACCCTCTTTCCACAAGCTAGTGGCTCGTAACTCACAGACACGATTAGATACTAATGATAAAATATCTTAAACCAAAAGCATGTATTCAGTTTTTTCAAAGAATCAAATTTCTCAACAAAATGGATGATGATTTCATTGTATATATTAAAAGAAAATTTAGTATAGAACCAATTATATAGGATTTTGGAGATACAACCAAGGAGTTTGGCAACATTGCACTCTTCAGCATTTTGTGAAGTTGGCCTGCTGTTTGTAATTGAAAGATGAATGTTATGTTTAGGATTGCTGCCTTTGTGGGACTGTTATGGTTTGTTAGCATAAGGATTGGACTACTTGCCCACCCTTAATCTTTTCTTTTCACTACCTATTTCTTATTATTAATCATATTTTGCTAAAATATATGATGGATATTGTCTTTTATGTGGAAATTTAATTCTAAATCTTAATATATTGCTATATTAGAAATTTTATATATTAGTTAGGTGAGTTTTTTATTCATGTTCCCCCGCGTCCCTCCTAAAACAAAATCCTGGCTCCACCACTAGATCCAACATGCTTTCTTCATCGTACTTTGTGGCTGCAATGTTGCTATGAATTATATTAATACTTCTTTGATAACTAGGAATTGAACAGACTAAAATTTTCACAGAAAACAAGGAACCAAATAAAAGGGAGACTAAAAAACTTCAACTAGACAACAAGCAAAATCAATATCTTGCTCTCACAAATTGAGTCATTACAGAAAGAGGGAATTTCACGATATAATGAAAATATGATGTGCAGAAATCATTAACGAACTACAGTAAAACAGAAGGCATCACATCATAGTTAAGCGTAATATGATTCTTCAATCAAATTTCACCAAGCAAGAAAGCTACATGCTTCTCTGGTCAACAAAAGAATTACCTTAAACATGATCACACTTGCCAAGATAGTCAAAGATGTAAACATGACGTAGTATATAGGAGATACAACAGCTGTGTTGAATGTATCAAGGGCCTGCATTAGGAAAGAAATTAAAATACAGAAAAATAATGACCACATGTGAATCAGGAAAAAAGGTAAGGGACACAAAACAACCACATCCAAAATATAAATGTTATAATAAACACCAGAAAGGTTAGAGCAGATTATTTCTCATGGATCCTGCATGACCAACTTAGTGAAACAGCAGATCAAAGCCACCCTAGCTAGACTTCAAGATTGAATCACATTCAAAATCCCAAAGATATGTTAAACCAATTTCAAGAATCAAACATTACAGGTGGCAGTCCAGCTACAAGATAAATTGAGTCCCCTACATGTTCTTCTGTCATCTTTGAAGCTACTTTGCACAAGGTATCATGGCCACCACAACTTAAGCAGTCTGAAGGCGCTAGGTACTGTCTTCAAGTACCTCCTTTTTGCTCACACATTCTTTAGTCATATTTTAAGCTATTCTTAACAAAGTACCACTACCACTACTATTTCTATTACATTATTTTGATACATTCTAAACATGTCAGCTGTTATTTCACAGTTGTCATCAAATTAAGCCGTGAAAAAGTACATCTACACTATAGAAAACAAAAAGTTGAATTATACAGAAAAAAAGAACTATATGGGCCTCATCCCCAAAAATATGAGCAAATTAAGCATCTTCAATAATAAATAAATCAATGCATCTGTGTGACAAGGTAATATCACAAAAAAAAACTTTTCATGAGTCTTGACACTCTCCAAATCAGAACCGCTGCTGTTACTCTGTTACCAAATAATCCGAAGATGAACTTAAGGGACTACTTAAGCCTGCGTTATTAAAAAATTGTAAATTCCGTGAATCACAACCATAGAAGGTAGTCCCCGATTGATCCCAGGATGAACAAAGAGATGAAATAACAGTGATGACTGACCAATGAATGAGTAGTTGGCTAATCAACTCAGAAATATTATCAGGATAATACGAGAGGATTGATCTCTGATGACATAAAACAAGGTAGTTCAATATAAATCTTTCATTTTGTCTTTTTCTTGAAAGACGGCATCCTTTCCACAGAGCCTTAGGGAACTAGGACTTGACACTGTGAAATGTACATTTCTTATAATTGCACGGACAAAGTTATTGATTCCAAGCGCCTTCTAATTCTCCTGTTTGATTGTTTTACCTAGGGCATTAAGCATGCAACATGTCAACAAGACAATCTAAGCAACCCCTTTTAAAACTATTTGCAACAAATCACAAAACAACCATGCCGTGAAGTTCGAATGCTCAAAACAGATAGTTAATAACCAATCAGAAAGAGTTTCAAAATCAAGAAAAAAGACAGAGGATTGTCTTGCAACAAGGACCAAGAAAAAGTTACAAGAGATCTTAGACATATTATACGAAGTCCAAAAACCCTAAATCCTCAAAGATACTCTTCACATCATGCAACAAAGAGAACCCAATATTGCCTACTTGTCCACCTACAAGGGAAGATGCCTTACTTTGTCGCCTGCAACAAATACATGCTCCTCATCAAATCAATGAGTCGAATTCACTAGAAGAGCCCTACCAAAACTCATCCAAATCTATGCATCATTGCATCTCACTCAGTTCACATCCCGCTCCAACCCACCCAAGACTTGTGGGTAGTTAGCTTCACTCATCCCAAGATATTCCATAAACAATCTGTTTCCACTGCTACAAAGTTCTACAATATGCATCAGATATCTAAGAATCTAAATGGCAATACATTAGTTAGAAAACCATCTTGGGTAGAGGTATGGGTGGGAAATGCATACATCGACTTTTCTTACAAAACAATCTTTTTATACCAACACCACCCACTTTCACTCCCCATATGAATATTTTTGCCCAACAAGGGGACTAGTTCAGTGGTTTAAATTCCGCCCGAACACCTTGAGATTGTGGGTTAGAACCTGAAGGCAATCGCTCTGTACAAATAATATAAAATGTTAAGTCTGTAGTCTATAGTCTGTACGTAGTTCACAGTTCGCAAACCCCCATTATGAAGACTAAACTTGAAGCTATTTACATGAATATTTGTACATCCTTTCTATATCCGGTAGACGTGTAGCCATCCGAATATTGAGTTGCATTTTCTGAACGCATTGCAACTAAAATTCTGGTGTAAAACTTCAAAAGGAGATCTGAAATTTCACAATACCAAATGACTAACATAGTACACATTTAGATGTTCAGCTAAATGGTTAAGATTTTTGACTCACTAGAAAAAGAACATCAAATTATGAATTTTGCATTACAAATACAAGTATTTCTACAAAACAACACCCAAGAAAAAGCATATAACATAACACAAAAAGCAAGCATAATAGGGTTTTTGACCAGTAAATGACAGCATATGTAAAAGAGAGAAAATATAAAGAAAATGGTGGTAAAAAATAAACATGATTACCTTGTTTAGATAATTCATTTGGGTAATCACACACATCATAACCACAATGGTAAAGGCCCATGTTTGGGGATATATTAGCTGATTCATTCCTGATAGTGTTAGCTTCAATGCAATTCCAAGTGCTTTGACACTCATGACCTGTCAGAGCATACCCCCTTGAATGAAATAAAAAAGAAGGAAATAACGCATGTGACAAAGAAAATTTTAAAACAGACATACAACCGAAGTACCAACACATACCGACAAGGAACCTACGAGCGAGCAAACTCCAATATAAAACAGTATATGTGTCTGCCCATATTGTGGGATATAGTGGAATATGAGTATGAAGACAATCGTTATCACAATTGCCGCATACAAAAGAAAAGCTGCAGAAAAGATGTATATGAACATTATGCCCGGTCCCATATAAAAAAAAGGCAAGCATGAAACACAGCATCTAAAACTTTAAAAAAACTGCAAATACAGATTACAAAATAGTCGGTGATACAGCCAATGACAATTACCTGGCTCAGTAGCAAGATCCCACACTTCTGTCACAGATTCAATCTCCCGTTCTTGTGGAGCATGAAGTACAATGGTGGTGGAACCCACAACGCACAGTGCACAACCAAGAATTCCAAAAATATGTAGCTTCTCTCGTAAAATAATATGTGCAAGTACAGCACTGCAATGTAACATTGGGATTAGCAGTCAACATCAGAGAATTAATCTAAATATTGCATCTGAATTTCTAGCATGCCTGATAATAATGCTGAGTGCACCAAGAGGAGTGACCAGAATAGCTGGTGCAAATGCATAAGCAGCAAAATTGGCAATCTCTCCGACAATCACTGTGACAAAAGCAAAACACCCATAGAATCCAAATTTCTAGTCAAAAAAAGACTATAAGCAACTCAATCAGCACGGTATAACAAAATCAAAATAGTCGTCACAAAATACTTTCATGCTAATATGACATAAAGAGAAAAGAATAAGAATAAAGATATAATAAGCAAGGCATAGGGCAAAAAGTAACTCAAAGATTACAGGACACAGATTTTTAACTCAAAAGAATAAATTGCTATAATATCAAAAATAAAATTTCCGTACAGTAATGTAATGACTGTTGAATACCAAAAAACTATAGATACATCATTAAACAACAACATATTTAGAATAGGGAGGAATCACTTGGAGCTAAATCTGAGTCCCAGCAGTTTCTTAAAGAACACTTATACGTTTACTCAATTACTAGTATCGAATTGATAGTGTTGAATCTGATCAAATAGCACCAAATACAACAAACTCAATCATTGAACTACTTTAAAAAGTATGAAGAGACAAATGAAGTAAGCAGTTGTACAGATCAACTCTCATCATTAAGCACTATTCTTTTTTTTGTTGTTGTTGTGAGGTTTTTTTGTTTTTTTTTTTTTTTTTTTTTTTTTGGGGGGGGGGGGGGGGGGGAGAGAGAGAGATTGAAATGCTTTATGGAGCTTAAACATGCAAGCTAAACTGTTTTCATAAATACACCCAGGTAATTTAATAACTATATAAGTCGGCAAATAGAATGTATAAACTCACTTGTTATCATGCCAACCCACCACAGCGGCTCATATAAGTATGAATATCCTCCAACTCCTGTGTGAAAAGAAGTGCACAGAATTATTTTCATTGAGGCTGTAATTGTCAACGACCAAAAAGTATGTAACAATGAATCACAATATAACAAAAAACGATTTGCCATGTCAACCCACATTAACCTTATTTCAAATCTATGCTTATATGGGAGAAATAAAAAAAATAACTGAAACAACTACAGAAAAACGAAGAAAAACTCCTCCACGGTGCCCTCTGGACTAGAGCTCTTGCAAGATAAGTCGATGGATATGAGGAATGAAGGATAGCAGGTAACATGAGGCTACATTGTGCTAGACTTCCAGCTCCCAATGTATTCCATTACCTGATACAAAAAGTCAATTTAAAAACTACAACTACTTTGTCAGGTTGCTGAGAGTTAAGAGATTGCCATGTTCATGAATGGAAAAAATAGCATCAGGAAGATTCAAACCACAGGTGATGCAAAACTCTAATCATCAACAGAATGGAACTCTCCATGGCTATGGCACTTCCAAGATGCCATATTTGGAAGATGGGTTCCCTGCTAAAGGAGATAGGATAGTTGGAGATTATTGTGAAGGTGTAGTATTGACTTGGTTTTTCGGTTTATCCTTAGAAGTGATTGCCTTTGTACCCAAAAATAGATGGCAATTCTATTAATCAGCTGTAGTCGATCAACTTACAATATGCAGCATCTGAGAGCAAGTAATTTCTGCATTCTCATCATATCCAAGAAAATGTAGCAACACTTCAGTAAGCATTGCTGATTGGCCTCTCCTGGGTCGATAAAGAAATATGAATTGCAAATGTTTTATGCCCAACATAATAGGACCGCACACCCGCATGTGCACCCCTTGGAGCAGGCAGACTAGGGCAGCCCACGAAGCAGAAACATACAGTGATGAATAAAAAAGCAACCGTAGACAAATGTGGAGGTTTTGCCTCAAATTTTAAGAATTCTAACTATGTGCGAACTCAGACTTTCCATATAGGGCTTCCCCAACTACTTCATAGTGCCATTTTGTTTCCCCGTATGGAGCTTATCATCCTGAAGACAAGCTTCAGCGTGGAATCAACCGCATGCAACAATTGCCTTGTCAGACTATAACATAACTACATTAAAGTTCGAGAACTATACCCATCTATAAAGAACCCAGAGATCTAAACAATCAAAAACACTATATAAGCAAATAGTATCATCCAAAACTCCAAAAATTACTCCATTTGCACTGCAGAATCAATTTCTGCAACTACACAATCATCATTTGAGTAAGAAAATTTCTATTTACATATATCCTACTAATTTTGGGTACCAAACATTTAAATTGGAAGTCAAAATGAGTCTAATTAATACCTGCCCTAACTCCAGAAGCGCCGGCTTTCTTTAAACCCTTTTTCTTAACAATGAAGCTAGCACCGATGAAGAAGCTTGAAGACAAAGCCAAAACCAAACCCTTGATGTTGTCAGAGGACATGCCCTTGTACGAATCTCTCCAGCTATGAGTCACCTCCGACGCCATCACAGATAAATCAAACCCCTAATCCTCAAAATTTCATATCTCTATTTTATCATCCAACGCTAACACCTAGCTTCAAGCACGAACCAAGCAAATTAGGTAAGATGTGGATCTCGTATATAGAATCAGACGTCTATAACTATGTGGTTGTGAATATAGAGGATGAAATTGATGCCTTAACTGGGTTTTTGAAGATATTTCGGTGAGAGAGAGAGAGAGAGAGAGAGAGTGGTTGGCACAGCTGGGACTGAAGTTTCTTAGATCGTCGGAGGAGAGAGATGGAGGGAAGGAGGAAACAGTGTATTTTACTTGATTTTTTTTAGCAAAAGGAAAAGGGAAAATTTCGCTTTGTACCCTAAAAATTGTTAAAAATTCCCACTTTATACTTTTAAAATAAAATTTCTCAAATTATACCTCTAAAGTATCAAAATTGTTGCTTCTATTAGTTTCTTCTCAAAGATAAAATTTCTCATATTATATTTTAAAATATTAAAAGAGTTGTGATATGACTCTTCTATTAGCATTCATTATTTTTTATCAAAAACCTCCCCATTAACGAGTCACATTATAATACTATGGGTAACTCGTGTTTTCAGGTACAGTGCAATAAATTTGGGGATGGAAACAAAAATTAATATGAATGATTTTGAGATAGATGTCGGTGTTCATTGAATGAGTCTATTTGAGACATGAGTTTATTAAAGTTTGTTCTATTTTATATTATTACAATATTTTTGATATATTAAAGGTATAATTCAAAAAATTTATTTTTGAGAATACAAAATAAAGTACAATTCTCCCAAGAAAAAATACACCAACAACCCTATAATTTGATTCTAGTTTTATAAGGGACCCAAGAGACTTTAGAGAGTGATACATTGTCAATTTTAACCATGTCACCACTCGATAAAAATCGACAAATTTAAAAATGAATCGATCAATTACCCGCGGATAGGTTAGATGAGTGTTATACACAAATCAAAATGTGTTAGCTAGTATTTTATGTAAAAAATAAATATTTTTTTTATTTTTTAATTCCTTTACATAATATTATATGAGTTGTCATTTAATTTATATAATTTTGTATCGACACTTGACACCAAATTGACAAGAGCCGAAGTAAATATCTTACCTAATAGGGAATGTGATAAAAAAAGGACAAAATTTCTTATCAATTCATTCAATATTTTTATTTTTAGAGGATAAATTTTCATTAAATTATGTATTTATCTATATCTATATCTATATTACTTTAAAATACTAATATATTTGAAAAACCTTTTTTTCCATTTGTATCCTCCAAAAAAATAAATATATCATTCTTATCCTTCAAAATTAATATTATCTTCCTAAACCTAAATCATCTACTGCTCCTAAATTTTTTGTTGTTACTTCTCTCTCTCTCCTTCCTGCCTATTTACGTGCCTCCTAAATTATTTGTCGTTACTTCTCTCTCTCCTGCCTATTCACTTGCTTCTTAAATATCCTGGCTATTCACTTCTAAAAATCCCTGGCCAATTCATAATTTGCATTGATTTGGAATAGTGAATGAGCTCTCGTTTTGAAGAATATGAATGCATCATCTTTTCTTTTTCCCTGCACCCTCTTTTCTATGACTATTTCCTTGATGTAAATTTTCTCATCATATGCTTTGTTACTTGTTGTTACTTTATTTTTTGATGATTTTTTCTTGATTCAAATTTTTTTTGGGGTAGGAGTTGCCTTTGTTTTTGGATTTGTGCACTTTCATTCTCTCTTGTGGGTATTGTAAGTTTTTTGTTTACCTTGGATTGAATTATATTCAAATGTTGTCTTATTAAATCCAAGCTTTAGATCATTTTAAGTTATGGGTATTTTTGATTTCTTTTGGTTTTTCGATATTGACTGTCTTTGTTTCAAATGGCTTCGATATTTTCTATGAGGTTACATTGATTGTGGGCCTTCGATTAGAACATTTAATCTTCCTTTTGCTTCACTTCTGAGTAGGGGGGCCAATTCCCACATAAACTACATGAATATGAAAACTATTAGAAGCCTGTTAAAGCAAATGGTCAACGATGAGGTTGAACCAGATGTTTTCGCCTTGAATTCTATGATAAAAGGGTATGTGCTCTCACTTCATGTTAATGATGCCCTCAGAATATTTCATCAGATGGGTATGGTCTATAATTGCCAGGCCAATTCATTCTCTTATGACTATCTAATCCATGGGATGCGTGCCCAAAGCTGAACACACAATGCAAGGGAGCTGTGCACTGAAATGAAGAAGATGGATGAAAACCAAAGGTCAGTTAATTTCATCACCTATCGGATGGTTCTTATGAAATGAACAACAAATGTCAGTTGATGTATGTATTATACCATACATATATACATTCGTGTAGATTTGTCTACTATTGTTATGAAATGAAATTTTGAATTATTTATTTTTTGAATAGCTAAATGGATTTGTAAAGGACTTGTAACTTTTGATGGATGGTAATATGCATTGCTAGTTTGTGCCACATTCTGATATGTGAAAGTCCAAGCCAATAAAGTTTCTAATACTTCAGTTAAGCTTTTAGTTCTCATGTACTGATGCAAATGTTCTCTGTAAAAATCATGCCATGTGGTGATCAACACGTTGATGACATGGTTGAGAAGAGTTGCCAGTCTTTTTGAAGTTTCCTTCTTTTAATAGGCTTTTTTTTTTTTTTGAGTTGTGCAAGTACTCTGTTTGATATATTTTTTTTATTCTGAATTTGTGTTCCAATTAATTAGATGCAAGTGTGGATTGTAACCTTTAATAGGCTTTTTATGTTGTTTGATACGTAGTTTTTTTAAATAATTTTGACCTTACTCTTAGAACATATGAAATAACCTTGATTAATGACATAAAACCAATATAAAGTCTAAAAACAACTTGATCTTATTAGTATGATGAAAGTGATTTTTATGATGTGTCATGCCTCAATAGAGACAACTGTGAGCAAGCTCACCCTTTCCAATCTAAAAACTGATTTTTTTTTACTACAATGTTCACTAAAAAATCACTTTTCTAACCAACAAACCAAGAACCACCATAAAATCTTTCAATTCCTCACATTGTATATTGACCTTTTGTTTTCTGTCATTGCTACTGAAATAGCCATTTGATTCCTTCAGTTTGTGTTATGTTGCCCACTAATTTATATTTATTATAATTGATTTCCCATTAATGCTCTATCGTCTTTCATATTCTCACTTTTTAACAATTTTGGTAGTCAATACCCAGTGTGCGATGCTTATATCATCCATAATGAAATGGGACTGAATGCTTCCTACTCCATATTCTCGCTTCACTCTCTTAAGAACCCTGTGTTTTCAATTCAAACACCTTTCTATGTATCGTTTTGGCTCTCGCACCACGTGTTTGTGAAATCAATGGGCTGCTTCAACAGGTGCTGATTCTCTCCCCCTCTTTACACACAGCTTATGTTTTAAATTTGAAGCCTTAGAATTCCAACCGTCAACTGTGTGAACGCCTTGGTAAACACTCCGCAACAGTTCCCTATTTTCAACTTATTTACTCGAGCTTGCTTGCAGATTCTAATGTGTGTGCAAATTTGTTGTCTAGATTATACCAAAAATACAAAGAACAAAACTATTGAGATTTAACGATTAATGGTGTCCTTAAATCTTAGAAGAGAAAGATCTCCATGAATGAAGTTTAGTTACAATGAGAACAGGTTTATGAGATGAATGGCTTGGTAAGCCATTTGTTCTGATTGCATTATTATTTCCCTTTTTAATCTGCCTATAGGGTTGGCAACAACATTCAATGTGATTAAACACCTATTGTTCTGATAAAAAAAAAAAAAACTTATTGTTGCAATCATTCATGTGCACTATCCAAAAATCTCAATCAATTCCCTCTTTTCCTTTAGAAAAATAAAAGTGAGGTTCTGATCTTTGAACTCATGTGCTCTCTTTTTTTTTTTTTTTGCACTCATCTAATTATGTAATTTCTTGTTCTCATCATTCATATTAGGTGGACACAAAATTTAACACATGCATCATATGTTCATGTATTTAATAGCCACATTCAAATAAATCTTGTCAAAAATGTTTGAATTCAATTCAAATAGTGAGATAAGGTGTCATGATTGAACTCTACCAATAGATGAAATAATTGCCCTTTTCTAAAGAAAAATAGAAGTTGTTGTGAAGAGAAAACATATAAGGTTTGTCTATTACAAAGGGGGTATGTAATGCTTGTTTTCTGTAATCAATGGATGAAAAGAGCTCTTTTGTTTTTTTTTTCATGGATCGGGTTTCTCAATCATTGACCGCCTAATTAACTTTTCCATGAAATTTATTTTATTTTACTAATAGTAGATTATACTTTTTTCTGTATCTTTTGACAAATTGGAGACGCTGTTAAAACTGACAAATTGGTGACACTGTTAAAATTGAAAAATTGCTGGCACTTTTTTTTGCTAGGTGCTTTTTTCATCTTCTTGTTGATTTTATATATTTATGACATGCAAGTTGAGTATTGACCTCTCAATGGTTGTGAAAAATTCCACTGACCTCAATAGTTGTTCAGGCTGCCCACCAGAAAATCAAATAGACCAAGCAAAATGTTAGTTTTCATTATAAATGAACTTTTTTTTGAATGAAATTTAACTATTTATGAAAATAGTTGGTGCTTATAAGCATTTAAACTTTGCTGACATATGTCTACCCTAGGCAAATGAAAAATAAATAAAATAGAAGATCCTGATGAAACTTGCCTCAGTCCATGTGAGATAGCATTCTGTACTGAATTGGATGTGAAAAAATTATAATTCCAAGAGAGAGAGAGAGAGAGAGAGAGGAAATCATACATGTGACTCAATCCCACCTCTTGACTTATAACTTGAATATGTCTGAGCTTGGCCTATTCTAAAGTTCACCTATAAAAACTGTCGGGACAAACTATTTGTATATAAGGAGTAAGATAGTTGTATGCTCATGCTAGAGCTAAAACCGGTTAAAATATCTATTTACTGTTGGTTATTACTAATTCATTCAATATCTAGATATGCGGTCAATATGTTTATGTCAGAAATGATTTTATATATGAAGTACCAAAAAGCATATACTTATTGTTTTTCCCTACTACTATGTATATTGAAATGGTATAGATATTTTTTGTGAAAATGTATAGATGTTTTTTGTTTATGCCTTCACTTGTCGCTTAAAAATGAAAACAACAATCAAACAGACAACTTAAAATGATCCACATGCAACGCACCTGCACCAACTAGTTATATATACTAATACCCCAACCCGTCTATTTGGAATTATTATTGATTCAAACTCTTTGTTATTGGATAAAATATACTTCTCCTTTGCATTTAGTATGATTTTTTTCCTATGAGGATCGTAATTGGAATAGTCTTTGTAGAGTACCGTCTCTTACAAGCAAGCACGATAATTGTTAGCTATGATATCACTTTTATAAAGTCTGGGGCTTCGCCCGATCACGTTATTGATATTTGAGATACAAACCCACCACTTTACCAACTCACTTCGCCTACTAAAAATTAAAAGATATAAGTTTAGGGATCATGAACTGTACAAATAAGTAAGTTGAACATTTATTATGATGCACAAAACAAGGTAAAGATTAATCTTTCTAAACAAAGAAACATGCTCAGTTCAACCATATTTTCTTAAAACCAGTGTTTTCTTCGTACTACTCAAACCACTGAAAAAATAGAATAAGTTTCGTACGATGAGAGCGATCACATGTTCAATACACTAATCAGATTCTACGATAAACACGGTTTGAAAATAACATAACATGTCATAGTGATTGGAATTTAAATAAGCTTTTAAAGGTATATAACATATACCAAAGTATTTCAGTATCATAAATAGAAATTTGCTCAAATCAAATATTCACATTTCAAAATATATCTTGAAAATATCAGTATCGAAAATCATTCAGTACCAAATCAGTACTCACAGTGTGCCAATACCAAAAATCAACCAGTACCAACCTCAATAATGTGTCATACTAGGAGAACAAAAACCAATGCGACCACACAAGTCCAGAGGACATCTCCAATGCCTTGATATCAAATAATAACTTTTTAAGGAGATTGCACCCCAAGGAAGACATACGCTTACTCACTCTGCCTGTACCAGGCTTGAAAATCATTGGGCGACCAGAACTGAAAAACTCAGTCAAACCTCTATGTTTTAGCAACCTAACTCATGGGCCCTTTGTCATTCAACCCTGTGTGCACAATACTTTTCACAAAAAAAGATTCGAGTAATCAATTTCACAAAACATGTCTCAATAGCTCAACAAAATTTAACACTTCGCAGTCCACAGCTCCGAAGAGCATCATCGAATCCAAAGTCAAAACCATGATTGGCACTCAATCATGTTAGTCAATAATATTTATGAAAACACATAAAAATGGCTTGAATATGAAAAAAGAGTTCAGTAGTCCAAGCTCAATACAAAACTAGATAACATATGAGTCTCGTTTCAAATGTCTGAACAGTTGTCAAAAATTAAATAGTTGAACATTTTATAGGTGATTCAATTATAAGTCTCTGAGATCTGTAAAAGCATAAAAATAAAATTTGGTTCGATCAAAAATTGCAATGGGCGTGAAGTCAGGGTAAAATAGTCATTTTAGTGTGATATACAAACGGTGTTAGAATAGAGCAAACAAATATGGTTGGAAAGCTCGTAAAATAAGGAGGAGCATGGTAGTTCAAGCCACCACCCACTCCCCGGTCACCCTCTCTCCCATGATCTCACCCACTTGCGGGGGGGGGGGGGGGGGTGGCTGGTGGTGGTTGAACATCCCTCCTCCAATTTCTTCTTTAGAAATATGGTTTTTGACCCACTTTTCACCTTTGTCTCCCTCTTGATACAAAAATTTTTAAGTAATGTTTTATGGACTTAAAAATTAGACTTGATAATCACAACCATTGAATAGGTAATGAATCTCAATAAATGATGAGACCTACAGTGAAATCAATTATTGTAATTATCAAGTTTAGTTTTTAAGTTTAAATTTTAAGTCTATGTGACATTGCTCAAATCTTTTTGATGATTCAAAATCCTATATTGCTTATTTTGCGCCCTCTTTCTAACCATAATCTTGGGTTGTTCAACTTATGTCCAGTCTGAAGGAATCCAAGCTAAAAAACTCCAACTCTAACTATTTTTTTACACTTGTTCAGATCTGTAAATTTATTTTTGACCATCCAAATGACTAAATCAATTAAAACAAGTCCCAAAAATGGATTCCTTCGCCCCAAAAACATTGGACATGGTCCCCCTTGAAGCTCAAAACATAATTTTTCAAAAACCCAAACATAAACTAGGGTTTGTGTTTTCTCTCTCTTCCTTTGTTTTTTTTCTTGCAATCCAACCCATTGCCAACTTCTTACCTTTCTTATACCACCCAAGTAGCTGAATCATCCGTTGCAAGGCTGCAATGAGCAAGAGGAGGACAACTCCTCCTTACGTTTTGTAAGACCACCATTGGATAACAATTTTGGTAATTTTTCAATTTTTAAATTTCTTTTTTTTTTTTCAACTTAATACTTAATTTCTGAATATCATTTTTCTTAAACCAAGAAAATTCATCTCTTTCTCATTTCGATCCGATTTGGACTTTATCGAACGATTTTATCCTTATCGTTATTTGCGCGATTTCATACCAATCACATCACCACAACTTATTCAACCACAATTAGTTCAATATTCAAACCCTTATTTCTTGTTAACAAGCCTAGGTGTTATTCAGTTTTGCTTTTTTCAAAAAAAACTTCGAAACCAAAATAAAACCGTTCCCCATTAGCAACCCCAAAAGGTCAATCAGAGCTCGAATGGTCGCCCTCCCCCCTCGGGGATTTTATCTATGTTCCATGGGAGAGGATGAAAGTAATGCTATAGTTATTCGTTCTTTTCGCTTTGAAAATGACCTAAAATGACAATAAAAGCCTTATAATGATATTTTAAAGACCTTAATTCATCTCCACCTATAACAATATTTTAAAGACCTTAATTCATGCCCGCCCTTAAAGACAGGCTACTTGAAGAAAGAAAACTCAATAATCATAAAGACGGTCATAAAAGAATGAAAGAGAAAAATAAATAGTAGAAAAGAGTAACTCCTCTGTCAAGGAAGGGCTTCGGTTGCCTTCCACCCTTTATATAACAGATTCTATGTAGCTAGCCACCCTAAGAAGACAACGACAACTGCAATGCATAATAGCAGAATTGGTTACAACTCTTGCTCTCTTTTTCACTCTTCTTCTAGAAGCACCACAGCCAGATAACTACTCTTGCTAGGTTTAGAACAAGCTACTCTATTTGAATTGAAAACAATACAAATCAAAATGACACGATATAACACGAATTAAACTTGATAAAGTTTTGTCTAATTATTTTTAGCGACGAAAGAAATTGACACCTAATTATAATATTATCTAATTTTATCCTCAAACTTTTTAAATGAATTTTGAAACTGATGCATTGGTATATATGAGATCTATTATTTTATTGTTATTATTTTTAAATTGCAATACAGACGTTACCAAGTTCAACTGCAATGTAAACATCACCCAGTTCATCTGTAACAAACCCAACCCACTAGTCTGCATTGTACACAACCCGTTCATAGTTATTCTTCTCGTATACACAAACTAGAGGGATGGCAATAAAATAAAAATAAAAAATAAAAAAATTGGACAAATCCTCGGGATAAATTGGACCATAAGATTCACGAAGATGCCCCCGACATTCCCCAAAAGCTGCCGGCATCCCCATGGGAGGGGAGATTGCAAAACCCATAGACATCATAAGATTTAACAAACAATTTGTTTTGACTTGAAGGACCAACCCCCCCCCCCCCCCCGGCACACAAAATAAGAGGTACTTCTGGCGAACACTGCTTATTACAACAGAGAAATTCCTGTATACAATTTCAAGGTATGCCGTTACAAACAAAGTTGAAACTGTACAGAATGTAATAGATGATAAATCTGATGCATCTATCACGCACCTGCTTCCGCCCTTCGTGTTCCTCATTCTTCTATGGTGCACAAAACTTCAGGTTAGCCCATACTCAGTTCATGAAAAGCACTTTAGATAAAGACCCGTGTAGTCTCCTACTGTAAAAGTTGAACAGCTGCAATGCTTGGGATTTTTTCTCGGAGTTTCTGAGTAACAGCCACTCGGACAGTCATAACACCTGCTGCTGGACCTGTTAATCGAACTTTCACTATTGGCTCCTCGATAGCTACAAGTTCTAGATTTCCACCTGCTGCCCCAACGAGGAAGGGCCTTATTTCTTCAAGGACCTAAAATTATTAAATTCATCAGTCAACCACCAATATGCAAGCATGAACAAAAAACACTTGATACAAAATATATACCAGTACATAAAGATAAAAAGGAAGTAGGTAAAGTAATTTGGGCGTACATCACTCATGTGCACATAAAAAAAAAATGACAAGGCAGAAACACTGCTACAGTATTTCTTTTTCTTTTCTTTTCTTTACATGTCTTCTTTTTCTTCACTTCAAGCAAGGACACAAAAACAACAAATTAAACATCTTTTCCATGCTCAACTGAAATCCTGATACCCAAACTTATGATAATCTACATTAACAGTTTGGAACATGAGACTGAGCAGAAAGAAGTTTTAACAGATACCCAAGCTTCTAAAATTTCCGACAAATAAACAACCGAGCAGCAGCAACAGAAACATCAGCTGAATAATGGCTAGACAATTTCTTGCAAACAAGATAGACTATTACTAGGCTATGAGTTTCCAGCTAAAATGTGTTAGTTGTCTAGCTTTAACATTGTGCTGTAACATCACTATTGCTCACAATATAATTAGAGCGAGACCAAGAACTTCATTACAGCAGTACAGCAAATGTCCCAGATATCTTAAATAAATGGAAAACATTATATATAATATTAATAAAGGGAGAGAGGGTTTGCTGTCCACTCTTAAAATATCCATTATACCCTTTATCTTTTTACAAATAACTACACATAATTCCCTCTTTAACCTCAGCTTCTACCCCAGAAATACCAACATTACCCTTCGTGGCTTCCCAAATAACCACCCAACTTCCCTTTTAACCCCATTCAACAGCCTACTTCTCTCTTCACACACATAACCGTGTGTGCATGACATCTATTTATATTATAATGGCATTTTAATTTCCTTGATTTGGTATGCTTTCCTTCTCATCCATTAAGCATTATATATCTCCCGTAGCTTTTTTGCTTTCTTTCCTCCCATTCCTTTTATGCTTGACTTTGTCTGCAAACTGGTCCAAAGATTTCATATGGGTCTCATCGTTTCTTGTCCCTTTCTTTTCTATTCTTTTTTGTAGATTTTTCTTGTTTGTCTGAAAATTTGAGATTTTGAAGAAGATTTCAACATATCATCCAATTCCGGTTTGACTCATCTGAGTCAAACCGATCAACTCCGAGTTGTACCAAAACAATGGATATATTACCGAGTCAACGCCAATTAGGTGTGACTCATGATATTTGTGTAACGTGTATTGTTATGGGATCGATGGTGGCAGAGTCGTATCGAACTCGACTAATACTTTGAACCATGTCAACATGGGTTGAATAAGTGTCAAAATAATCTAATCCTTCCCTTTGTTTATATCATTTGGATACAAATCTAGCTTTGTACTTGTCAATGGATCCATCGACTTTCATCTTCTTTTTAAAGGCTTCAAACGCAGGTTCCGCTATTATCGTCCAAATAGAGTATTCATTTTATTGCATCAAAGGCCAACATTCCTTACCACTTTAACAACGGTTAAACTAACCATCCCTTTCTCTTTTGCAATTCTCACTGGTTCAGTCCTTATTTTCCAATGACACGGCCAAACCATCCCAATGATCTTTCTCAGTACATCCCTTACAAATCTTTATATTTTTCTCTTTTTTCTTTATATTGTTCCAAAATCCATCAACAAGATCTCAGTTACTGGAAAAAAACAAATCCATCAACAAGCATTTAATTAATACATGGCTCCTTTCCCACCAACAGAATATTGAATCCCAGTTGTCTTAAATAATAAAGTCCAAGACCTTTGCTTACTGCTAACTATCATCTTCAATAAACGAATCTCTGCGTGTTTGAATACTAAGGAGTAAGTTGGATGCTCGTTTATAAACAAATTATGTTCTGTATGCTTGCATCTTGGCATGTTGTCACTTTTAGAAGATATGAACCATGTAATCAGATGCACACTTTTTCACCCACCATTTTTTATTCCTTACCAAATAACTCCATCGTATTCACCAGATAGATGAAAATTGCTGAAGCACCAACACTGATTTAGGATCCATTAGACAAGAGAAATAGAGGGAAAAAAGAAGCAGATACGGGGAGGAATTTAGGGAGATATGTGAGAGAGAGAATCCAGTTTTTTAATAATAAACTCCAATAACCAAACATAATCATTCCATTACATCTCAGGTCGATTTATATATAGGGCCCATCTACATTCAGCCAAACTAGAATTAGAAATGAAGATAATATAATTAGTTAAGTCACAATAAAATTAATACATTCAACATAATCCTAAAACAAAATAATCATAATCAATCCAAACTTCATCAAATTCCTTTACCACCAAGCAATAGAATTAAGTGGTGCATAAACACTTTTAAGCATGCAGATACACATGTTATAAACCAATAAAAAACGTTTGACCACGGTAATATCAAATTTATAATTGAATAATTACCTTCTCTATGTTTTCATCATTGAGCTCCAGGCCAGTTTCTTCATCTGGTATCGATTCCACTGCAACAATTTCAGGCATCTTCTCCATCAAACGACGCTCTATACCCATTTTCATTGTCATTACAGAGCTTGGACAGGAACCACAGGCTCCTTGTAGCTTCAACCGTACGACATTGCCATCAATCTCATGTAAAGCCACATTACCCCCATCTGCAATGAGATACGGTCGAATTTCGTCCAATACACTCTCGATATTTTCTGCAGTGAGTGGTAATTCCACGGCTGAATCTGGAGTAGCAACAGATTTTACAACTGCACAACATCAAAAAAAAGGGAAATCAAGACCTTAAATGAAATCCCAAAAAACATCATTTCCATAACGAATACCTAGCAAACTAATCTAATATCTGTAAAACACCACACAGAGAGGGACATCCAATATGTGAAGAAGCCATGGGCTTAAACCATCCAGATGTTACAATATCTAAACATACTGCAACATGAAATTGACGTCTTCAATCTAAATTCAATAAAAATCAGCTCAAATTAGAACCAATTCCACCCCCAATTGCATCTCAAAGCCCCAAGTCCACTCCACAAAACAGCATAAGTCTTAAATATATATCTGTGGGAGACCCTTTGGGGAGCTAGCTCCTGCTGATCAGCAGCCCACCAAGATAGATCAATCCTATCAGAATTCAAAATTCGAGTTTCAACCGAATACAAATTCCTACCACTATAAATAGAGCCTCCGGGTACTAGGTAGCTCAGACTACTCACTTGAGTTTTCTTTCTATTGACTCGTGATCTAACTTAAGTATCGAAGTCCCTTTGGTCGCCTCCAGCTAGCGATTCACATAGTTTTTGTTTGTCTTGCAAGACGTTCGAGGCTTCGCTACCGTCATCTCCATCCATTCAAGGTAGTGACTTATTGTGCAAATTTCTCCCCACACAATATCGACTGTAGGTTTTAATGTTACTGGAAATACTGGTGCTACAATGGTACTGTAACAATGAATTCTACTAAATTACATTATCTCAATCCCCCCATAAATTACTGACTTTTCCCTCTTGGCAATTTTAACGAAATTGGAAACATAGAACAATCATATCATCATCACAGTGTTTCCCGAAGTTCCCAAACTCTTGTATCAATAGTGTATCATCCTGACTTCTACCTCATTGTAATCCTAAATTCCAAACACTATATACAAATCCCAAATAGAGTAACCTCACGACTGATCATGTGTTCTAAAACTGCGAGAACTATGCAACACAATCCATTCCCACTGCTGGTGGGAAAAAAAAATAAAAGAATCAATTGTTACAAAAAGATCAAAACATTAACAATTTTTAATCTTGATTATACGTACACAAGCAAGACTAAGCGAAGAAAAAAATTTTGAACTGCTGCAAAATAAAAAATAAACAATTACCTTTACACCTTTTAATCCAGATTTAAATTTTCATCTTACTACTAAAGGAGTGTTCACCCTACCCTACGGGTAGGAAATATACTCTTCCGTCTTCCTACCCGATACTTTACGGAAGAGTTTTTTCTTGGCCTACCCTACCCGACAGGTGTGGTATTCCTACCCCTTCCAACCCAGTTAATCGGGTAGAAAGTCGGGTAAACATTTTTGTAACAACTAATTTTTGGATCATTTTAACAATTTAATTAAATAACATGCACCAATTTAAAACACAATAAATCAATTAACACTAAAATCTAAAACAACTACAATAAGAATTATAATAAAACACAAAAAAGTATGAACATCAATCCACCTTAATTGTTACATAAATACAATAACAATTAATTTAAGTTTAAACTTTAAACCATATGAAATACATTAAAATCATAATTGCTCCGCTAGGGTTTAAGATTTTTTTTAGTTTATATATATATATATATATATATATATATATATATATATATATATATATTAAAAAATTATTACGGGTAAGGTAGGGTAGGAATGCGGAAATGGATGACTATTCCGCATTCCTACCCAAAAATTATCGTAAGAACAAAATCTCTTTCGCATTTCTACCCGATTTTTGCGGCTAGCCGTTCAATAGGGTAGGGTAAGAACTTGCGGCCGGTCAGAAATTTGAACACCCCTCCAACTAATCTAAGAACATCCAACTTAAACAAAACTAATAAAGGAAAAAAAAAAAAAAAAAGGAAATGATAACGATTAACAGCACAAAACTCACCCTGCCTAGCAGCCGGCGATTGAATCCGCACCGAAGGCGATGCCCTCCACCGCATCAAATTGCCCCTACTGGAGAATGATATCCGATTGCTCAATAACACGGAAATCTGCAAATTCTCAATTTATTAGACATCAGCCCCTGTGCCATATATGCATATGTATTTATGTGCGTGTATGTATGTATGTGTGTGTGTGTGTGTGTGTGTGTGTGTGTGTATAGAGAGAGAGAGGCATACCTTGAAGGGAGGAGGGTGGAGGAGACTAGTAGAGGAAGGACAACATGATGGTTCTAGGGTTTGCTGGGTCCTACCACCGTATGTATAAGGCGGAGAAGTATTCACCACCACGGAAGCACCTTGCATCTTTCTCTGATTTTCTTTCTCTAGAGATTAGAACTCGAATTCGTATACGAACAATGAAATTGAAAACTGTGGAAGGAAGGAGGCAATGATGAGCCAAACAGACCGACTCTGGATCTTCTTTACAGTTATTCCTTTTCAGTTTGGTAGAATTCCGCTCACATCTCCTAAAATTTGTATTTTAATAGCTTACACCTCTAATATTTAAAATATTATACACAAACTCTTCAAAATATTCTTGTAATTCGTTATTCATTAATTAAATTTCATTCAGACCCTCTAAAACTTATAAATATATAATATTTAGACCCCCAAACTTAAAATATTATATTCAAACAAAAAATACTCCAATTAAATATAAAATATCACATATTTTAAATTTTACAACAAAAATCCATGTTCTGTTATGACATTTATTAAAATAAAAATATAATTTTTTTCTTAAAAAAACATAATTAGTATACAATTATTCTTTTTCAATTTGTATCCTTTTTCGTTTGGGCAAATTACACTTTGTACCTCAAAAAATTTAAAGATTTTTATTTTATATCCCAAAAGATAAAAATTTTATATATTATACCCTGAATATATCAAAAATATTACAATATGACACCTATGTTAATTTTTATTATTTTTTTCATAAAAGATCACTTCACTGACACTGACAGAAAAATAACAGAATCTAATAGAAAGATCTCATTACAACTCTTTTGATACATTAAGTTTATAATATGAAAAATTTTATCTTTAAAAATACAAAATAAGAATATTTAAATCTTGGACTTTTCACACTTTATACCTTGAATGTTGTAATGTAGTCTTTTATGTATACTTCCATTATTTTTTTGTCAAAAGTCATCCTATTGATACATATGAAAAAATTAATGGAAAGTAAACATAAGGGTTATATTATCGTATTTTTAATACATTGAAAATTCAATATGATAAATTTAACCTTTGAAAATACAATGTAAGAATCTTTAGATCTTTCAAGATACAAATTACAATTTGCTCTTAAATCTTTTAGAACATAAAATGTAGTTCCTCCTTTTCTGTTTTTGTATGATTTTTTTTCTTTTGAAAATCAGGTAATAAATATAGTTAATTTGGCTAGAGTCCCTTTTTTGGTATGTGAATTAATTTTAGTATTACCAAATTTTTAGTATAAAAAAAGATTCTTCATTTTTTGAAAAAATATGCATGCGGTCCCTGCGTTGGCAAAAATGTTAAGAGATTAGTTAGTTACTAGTTTTCATTACTCATTCTGCCCTCATCACATAATTTCAACCTAAAATATAGTTAATTTTTTTTTTATTTTTTTGCATTTGTTATTGAGGTTTTTACAGTATTGTCTATCAGTTTTGAAATTCAAACTCGTGAACTAAGCGATTTGGACATTATAATGATGTCTGACGATCTGTGTTTTAGCATATTTGTCTGACGATTTGTGTTTATGGAGAAGAAGGTACATTGACGATTTGTGTTTTAATGCACCTGTTTGACCATCTGTATTTTTATGTACCTATCTGGAGATCTTGTTTATGGAGAATAATTAGGGGTGTTCACCCTATCCTATGAGTAGGAAATATAGTCTTTCGTCTTTCTACCTAATATTTTGCAGAAGAATTTTTTCTTGGCATACCCTACCTGATCAGGTGTGGTATTCTTACTCGACTTTCTACCCGATTAATTGGGTAGGAAGTCTGGTAAACAATTTTGTAGCTATTAATTTTTGTATCATTTTAACAATTCAAGTAAATAACATGCACTAATTTAACAATACAATAAATTAATAACACTAAAGCCTATCAGTCATCTTAATGAGTGTGTATATCTACCAGAATCTGCATGTCTTAAAACAATATTCCAAATTTACATGAAACATATTTTTTCTTTCTTTCGGCCCATATAACAATCCAATTTTAACTGTGAATTGAAGTTGTAGGAAAGAATCAAACTTCTACATAAACTTATTTGCAACAAACACTTGTTTAGTAATGCAATATTATGAGGGGTGTATCAGCTAACTATGACAAACCAGTGGAGTCTATATCAACAACCGAGAAAGAGAACAAAGAGAGGAGAACAAATTAAGCAGTAATCATAACCCTGAATTCAATATTCTATATGAAAAGGAATGCTACAAAACATACTTTAAGGTTGGTTAGCAATTAGAGTTAATATATATATATATATATATATATATATATATATATATATATATATATTAATTAATGCAGCTAGGGTAGGGTAAGAATGTAGAAAATGATGGGTATTTCGCATTCCTATCTGATTTTTTCGGCTAGACATTCAATAGCGTAGGGTAGGGTAGGAAATTGCGGCCAATCGAAAATTTGAACATCCCTAAGAATAATGTACACTAACAATTTGTGTGTTTAGAGTACCTGTTTGTCGATCTGTGTTTTAGTGTACATGTCTAACGATCTGTGTTTATGGAAAAGAAGGTACATTAATGATTTATGTTTTAGTATACATATCTGATGATCTATGTTTTAGTGTACCTGACGATATGTGGTTTTAGTATATTTATCTGACGATTATTGCGTACCTGTTATTTTTTATTTTTTTATTGCTTACCTATTTTTTTTCGCTTGATATATATATATTTTAATTGCATACCTATTTTTTTTAGCATACATGTGTTACGAGTTGTGTTTATAGGGAAAAATGTACATTATGATGACGTAACTTTTTAGAATATGTGTTTAAATTAGGTGATGATATTGTCTTTATTTTTTGCAATTGTAAAGGGTGTTAGTTATATTTGATAAATTTCATCAAATTAAGAAAAGAGATAAAAGAGACAAAATGATTGTATTATAACTTAATAGAAAACTGTATACAAAAGGCTCTTATATAGTAGGGCAACATAAAAGAACAAAGGACTAAACTACCCTTAAGACTAAATATTCTAACTACTCTAATATCCTCCCTCAAACTCATGATGCGGTAGCAGAAAACATTAAGAGTTTGCCAAGAAAAAAACAAAAGTAAGTAATAGTATGCGATTTTGTGAAAAAATCTGCTAACTGCATAGTGGAAGAACGAAAAGAGAGGGAGATAGTGCTCAACTAAAGATGATGACGCACAAAGTAATAATCAATCTCAATATGCTTTGTGCGCTCATGAAAGACTGAATTATGAGCAATCTGAATAGCATTGATATTGTCACAATACATAGCAGTTGGGTCAGGTAACATGATGCCAAGATCAGCAATGAGCCATCGTAACCAAACTATTTCAACTACAGTATATGTCATAGCACGATATTCAGCTTTAGTAGGTGAACGAAAAATAACAGTTTGTTTCTTATTTTTTCAAGAAATAAGAGAATCACCGAAAAAAATACAAAAATCCGTAATGGACTTACGGTTCATAGAGTCACCAGCCCAATCAGCATTAGAATAAATCTTGAGTTCCATAGAGGAAGAGGAGAAGAATAACAAACTCTGATGCAGAGTACCTCGAAGATATCGAAGAATACGAAGGACCACAACCCAATGAACAATGGTGGCAAAGACAACTAATTGACTAACAACATGAACAACATAAGAGATATTCGGACAAGTGATTGTAAGATATATTAAACTCTCAACAATAGCGCGATAGAGCGTAGGGTCAGACAAGGGAGTACCATCAAAAGAAGAGTAATGAACATTGAGCTCTAAAGGTATTTCAACTGTCCAATTATCTGATAAAAGAGTTTGTTGAATAACATCTGAAGCATACTTGGACTGAAAGAGAAGATATCCGTTAGGAGAGCAAGCAATCTCAATACCCAAGAAATATCTAAACTGCCCAAATCTTTCATCTCAAAATAAATCCTGCAATTGGGTTTTCAATAAGCATATATGACAGCAGTGTCATCACCCATAATAATCATATCATCAACATATAGTAAGAGAATAATAGAACCTGAGGAAGTAGACTGTAAAAAAAGAGCAGAATCATGGTCACTGGCGCGAAAATTCAAGTCACAAATAACTAAAGAAACTTTGGCAAACCATGCCCTGGGAGCTTGTTTAAGGTCATATAAAGTTTGGTGAAGTCGACATACTTGACCAAGACTATAAGATAATTCAGGAGGAGGAGTCATAAAAACCTCTTCACTTAAATCTCCATGAAAAAATGTATTTTTCACATCCATCTGAGACAAATTTCATTGGCGAATGGCAGCAACTGCAATCATGGTGTGAATAGTGGTCGTCTTTACAAAAGAAGGCAAAAGTCTTATCATACTCCTGAGTAAAATCTTTGATTACTAATCGAGCTTTATACCATTCCACAGAACCACCAGACTTGGTTTTTATCTTATAAACCCACCTATAACCAATAAGACTTTATCAGGTGGTAAAGACACTTGTTCCCAAGCTTTGGTCTTATGTAAGATAGACAATTCCTCATCCATAGCCTGTTTTCAAAGTGGATCAAGTAAAGCCTCCTTGTAAAAGGTGGGTTCAGATAAGGAGTAAATAGAAGTAAGGAAAGAACAAAAGTTAGGAGAATAACAAGTGTTACTCCAACCAAACTTGTCTGGATATTTGCGAGAGCATTAAGGATAATGCGGGGTATGATCCACATTATCTAAACCTAATTGGGTGGCAGGAGAAGAAAGGGGAGGCACCACATCTGTAGAGGAGATAGTTGGATTCCTGTGAACATATGTATGCACAATAAGGGGATGAGTGATGGGTACATCAGAAACAGTCATATCACCAATATAAATGTCAGAGGGAACATCAGCCGAAAATGGGTCAATATAAATGAGATTAGATTTATGCAAATGTGAAAAACTAGATGTAATAGAAAAGAAGGGAATATGCTCCATGAAAATAACATGACGAGAGGCAAGGAAAACACAAAGTTTAACAAGTAGAGAGCATAGTACGAAGAACACTAGGAAGTAAAACAAAATAGGTGCATCCAAATACACGCAAAGAGAAATAATCAGGTGACTTACCACATAATTTTTCAAATGGAGCAATTCCAGCTATGATGACTGTAGGAATAGAATTAATCAGATGGACAGCAATAAAAACTGATTTCCCCAAAAAGAACTTGGGACATTTGCTGACAATAAGAGAGAGCGTGCTATCTCCATAATATGTCGATGTTTACGCTC